ATTAGAGTGCTTTTATCTTTGTTCTTTAGATTATAAAAGTTCTCATAAATTATTAATACAGACCTTTTTAAGCATGCCAAAGTTTAATAAAAAAAACTTTTCTATTTTAATTATGTTTCTTTGTATGAGCATTTTATGAATGCTTTTGCATATTACAAAATAGTTACTAATATAAATCTGTTGTTGCCAAAATCAAAATTATTAAAATAAGAAAATAAAAGATAGTGTAAAACAAAAAAAATAAGTATGATAGTATTCAAAAAAAAATTTAAAATCTTTTGTCAACTTCAATTTCATTGCAAGCAATATTTGGTTTTGGATAAAACATAAATATAAGTAAAACCCCAAATCCTTCAAATCAATTAGTATCACATCCTTTTACTTTCTTACTATCTCATAAATATGAAATAATCTCCAATGCTGCTGCTCAAAAAGCAGCATATTAAAAAATCAAAACTGCAAAAGCAAAAATTATCAAATTGGAATTCTTGTTTAATTTAGCTACAAACATAAGTATTCAATATGATCTTTTTGTTCAAATACAAGAAAACAAAAATATTATTAATAAATGTTCAAAAAAAATTGATACACTTAAATAATATGCAAATAATCAAGCCTGAATGATAGCAAAAAAAAACAAAGATAACTTAATGAGGAAGGCATTGTTAAGCAATGAAATAATAAGAAAGACTATTAATATTTGCACAAAATTTAAACCTTCTTGAAAATATTTATGATTGTGTTGAATTCCATAAGGCTAACCAAAAGTGTAGAAAATCTGTAACTAAGGTTAGAACTATTACCTATTTAAAAACAGCACTTGAGAAAAATTATGAACTTTATATAAGCAGACAAACTTTGTCAACTTATTTTTGCCCAAAACATGCAAACACTTTTTTAGCAAAGCAGCATCACCATGCTGCAATGGTTCAAATTCAGTCAGTATTATAAAATGAAAAGTTTGATTATTCTGATAGCCACTATTGCCTTGCTTTAGTAAAGGGTGCTTGAATTTTTGCTTCATTTTCTAATTATTTTATAATTATATCTCAAGATAATAAAGCAAAAGTTCTCTTGAAAATTTTAGCTGTTGGACAAACTTTAAATTAATTGAAACAATTAATAAACCTGTTTCTATACCTGATTATGATTTTCTTTTAGAAAATAAAATGAAGCTTATACCCTCTGTATATTTTTTGATTAACACAAAAGATACAAATAATAACTTTTGCTTAAGACATTTTTTAATTTATATTAGATCTAAATATTTTGTGGGTACTACTGTGGCAACTCACATAGCTGACCTGATTTCAATTATAAATTCTAAAGAATATAATAAACCAATCTATATAGAAGGCAAAGTTAAATCATTATAGATTTTAATTGTGGATGCTGAACCAGACAAAAATCTAAAACATTTAAAAAATATTATAGAATATTGCAAGTTTTTTTGTTTTTTGGATTTTGATTATTTTTCAGTCTATATCTATGTACTAAGACAATCTTCTTATATCTGTAGAGCATAGCATGGGCTTTCTTTTATCCAAATTAGCTGGTATCATATTACCTATTAACTATTTTGGTACTCACCTTAACTTACAAGAAAAAGTGATTAATAATGAATTAGCAATAAAAAATTTTTGCTATTCAGAAGAAAGACTTTGTAATATTTGGTAATATAATAAGATTTATAAATAACCTGTACAGATTAAATATTTAGACACAAATAATAACATGTTTGAAAATAAAGAAATTTCATGGAAGTGGATTGATGAATATTGCCAAATTTGTTGTTATTTGCTTGATATCAAAAAATATCATGATTAAAATTGCTGCAAGCTTTCTCAAGCATCAGAAGCAACTGCTTTATTACAAAAAAATAATAGGTTCTTATATCTTGTTATTCAAGGTTGTGACTAACATTTTTTGAACCCTATTCATATTTTTGAATACTATGATAAACTTAAAATTTCTTTTTATAACAAGTATTGTACCTCAATATCAACAGAGATGCATTAATGCTTAAGTTGTTCAAGATATAAAAAGTATTTTTCTACTTTTAAATTTATTCAAAAACATAAACTTTAACTTTCAAATTGTAAGAACCAAAGTTCTATTCTGAATTTTTTTAAAAACACATTCTCTAATTCTACAACATATAAAGATTTTGTTCAATCACAAGAATTATATAAAGAAATTGTTTTTGAACAAGGCCTTTCTGATAGTAAAATCTTTTAATAATATTATATTCGTGTTTCATAGTATTTATATAGTTTTAATGAAATAAAACACAACTTATCTAAATAAGGATTCTACTTTGAGACTTGAAAAAATTAAATAATACATCAGTATATTTAATGTATCCTATTTTATTATTATAGATTATAATTAGAAACAAATCAAAACTATATTTAGAATTTGTACTAAAATTTGTAAAAAATATTTATTTTTTAAAATTTTAGTAATAATATTTTTTATTACATAATAACCTTGATCATGGATTTGATTATATTATGCAATTAATTACTGGACTTATCAACTTGTAACTCAAATAATTCAAATTAATTATATAACAAAAATAAAAAATTTTAATTTTATAATTAAAATAATGAATACCACATAAATATTTCTCTAGAAGCAAACAATATATTGTTTCTTTAATTGTGTTAATTGTTTACAATCTTATTTAAATAATACCTTTTTTTCTTTTTAATTAATTCTATATTTTTTGAATAAAAATAACTTAAAGAGTCTTTTCTCTATATTATTTATTTATATTATCACATTTTTGATTAAATAGTTACAACTAATATTATAAAAAAATATTTAAAAGATTTTATTTTTGTTACATTTTACTAATTCTTAAATTTATCTAACATGGTTCATAATTTTGATCTAATATTTTAACAATTTGAATTAATAACTAAAAATGAAATGATGTTAGAAATATTATTCTCTTTTATTTTTTTAATTCGATTTTATAAGTTTCTTTTAAAATTTATCCAAATTTGTATCTTGTGAGGCATTTGAAAGACTTTTTATACTAAATTATTTTTTTTATTTTATAAAATCAAAAAAATTGGTTCTTTTTAAGTTTTATTTGTATACTTTACTATAAAGATAGTACTCATATAAGAGTCATCTAGATAATCCATATAAGATCCATTAACTGGGTCAACCTATTGCTACTTAGGTGATTCAGATTAATTAGTAAAAAATAAATATTTATCAAATTGGCTGGTTGATTCAATTGTATAAAAAAACAGTTAAGCAATTTTAACAAACTCAGCTTCAAAAAGACTGTACAAATTAATTATTAATAAATATAATAATTATTAGGTTGTTTTTCTATGCATTGCTAAACTAATTCAATTTAGTATTCAGAAGTTTTGAAAGCAAATTCTAGCTATAATCTATAATTAATCTTAATTGCAAGTTTGATATTAAAATTATGTCTATCAAAGGCCTTTGACTAACATCTTAGCTATTATATACCAAAGCTATAAATATCAACTGTTTGTGTAAATTTATATAACTTCTAAAAATACTAGAATATAACA